AATCGAACCAAAGACATGAGGGTAGCAGGGTCGGGATGATCACCGAAAAGCGACTTGGGTTTTGGCATCAGTGGGAGCAAGAGTTCGGCAAGTTTTCTGAAATAGAAAGCACCAAAAACATACGAGCAGTCAGCAACAAGCGAGACGGAATACAACAAGTTATGGGCTGAAGAGCAAGTGAAGTTCGAGTGAAGTGAGGTATATATCAACTGGCGCAAACACGAGACTCAACGACCAACAAAGTAAGCATTTCAACACAAGATAAAGCAGTCCTAGCTGCAAGCGAAAAGATAAACACCAAGACTATAACCAGCGACCTCTCATCTCCCACTCAGTGAAATCGATACTAAACTGAGGCAAGTAGGTATGTGGCCATTTGTCCTCCGAATCCAACTAAGTAAGCCTTTATCCGATCCAACGAATTTGACGGGCGGTAAAAAGACGTTGAAATTCCAGTGAGGTTCTGTAGCTCATAATAATATTGCAGTTGTAAATTTTCAGCCTACTGAGCTCCGGCTTATGAAGTTAGTTATGAGTTGTCGTAGAACTCGCCCAACGATATTCCCATTGCGTGCTCAGTCACCAAGGCGGTTATCAGAAACCTGGTGGCCTGAGAAGCAGGTGCCGACGAGCAATAGAGAGCACACGTTGGAAATTCTGATGGCCAACGAAACCCCGAACACAGGAACCTCTGTTCACATGCCTATCATACTGCTTATATCTCGCCTTCCGGACAATTCACGCTGCAATATGAAAAAGTATACCACAATTCAAAATCCTATCGCGCATGGTTGCATGCATCGAAGCACTTTTTAGGGGAGAGCATTGGAGGCACATCTTCCAAAGGGATTTTCCACGTACGACAATACAGTACTTGTCAGGAAGTACCTACCAACAACGAATCACAGCGATTCGCTCAGTATTTAGCACTCGTGGGATCCGTCCAGGGCAGTCATGTCTCAGGAGACCCTTTTTAGGGGCAGTTTAAGGAGTAACTAAAGCAGAAAAAACTTTGAGGGATGTCAGCACTTGGGTTTCAGTTCCACGGCCGCATTATTGGAGATGGTGGATGTTACGTGCATAGGGAAGAGACCCCATACAATGACCGTTTTCCTATAATGGTGGTTAGTTTTTCAATTTTCCAAATTTTTGTTGTTGAAATAGATGGGGAACTCATATGAAAGAAAACCTCGCAACAAAGACTATCCAGTTAAGCGACAGACACCGCTCCCCTAGCAGAACGGACCGCGAAAAGCGTGGTGTCATCGCAGGAACACCGTTTTTGTGCACACTATTCAAATTTCGCATGTGTCCCCAACCACCGAGTACCCAACAGTTGCAAGTCGTAAACATCTGCCTATGAAAACGTTTGGGTTATTGATAAAATGGCCCACAGTGTGATTTCCACTCTTTCTGCACGGCGCTGTTAACAGACAGCAGCCTATGCCGACCTAGTCGGTCTGAGCTCAGCCAGTCGTGACAATAAGGCAGCTCCCCGAAGGTGAATGAATAATATCATAACTAGGACATCATCGGGCTATAACTGCAAAACCGGACTATGCTACTTGGTAATGAAGAATCGCAAGGTGGTGTAAGGTGAGAATACAAACGCAGGTCAAGGTCAAACGCGTGTCAAGTAATCTGGCTGCAAATGTCTCGGATGTTGATAAGATTTCCACAGTGGCAAACCACAAGGCAATACGGGGCAACTAGACGAGGTTACGACAGGTTGTGCAACTAACATTATCAACAATACGCGTCGAATAAAGAACTGTCACGGTCATTCATGCGTAAATGATGATGGTGACAAGTTGCCGTTACACCAATTGTGCTTTCCAAAACGGAACCGACTACTGATAATCGAATTCGGTGTAAACACATGATAACCGAATCGTTGCAGATCTAGCCTATTCCGAATATTCCAATACGGCAAACGACAAGAAAGCTGAGCAAAGCTGAGCTGTAAAAATGAGCGGCTACCAGAGGCACGTCACTCAACACAGAGTGGAGCTTCACAGTAGCCAAGATCCCACTCCATCCATGTCTTGGCATCACACGGTGTGGATCTGATTCATCCAAACTTTTTTTTTTAGTGTAAACACTCTTCCATGTATTTCAGGTTTCGAATGGGGGCCAGAAAAGTGCGCGATTTCGGACATTATTCCTTCTTGGCTGTGAGAAAACTACTCCATTCAACTAGCGGCACCGTCTTCACGTAGTTTTCACGTAGTTGCAAAAATGGAAAAGCCATTTCCTTTTAATCCTGAGACTGCTGAAAAGAAAAAAGTTCCTGCACAGTTGTATAAAACTAAGCAGAACTCACACTAAACGAATTCCATCTCGTAAATCTACCGCTAGATTGGACACAGTAAGTTCATATTCATCCAAGAGTGTTTGGGTCACTTCCAGACGCACTCCAAGGTTGACCAAATGGCGCACCAGGTTGTTCTCCCCCGTAAGGAAGTTGCGCGCAAAAAGAAGCACCATTTCAGCCGAAGACTGATTAAGAGAAGGAATGAGTCACTCAATAACAGCGAGAAAAATGGGCGAAATAAGGATCACAGATATACGGGAAACCAAACAAACCAGTCACAAATGAAAGCATTCAAGTGTGGTGACTTTTTTGTGTATAGCTATCGGAAACCTGTAGGAAGCTCAGATAAGGACAAGTCTAGTTGTCCAAGCCCCGACAAAGACAATCAGAGCATCAGGTCTGAGGCCTTTTCGGCTTCTACTTCCACACGAGTAACTTGATAAGGTGGAGAGTCATGACGAAATATTGATGGAATGTGAACAACTTTCCCTAGAATGCGATAAGAAACCGCTCCTCCTTGGTCGGAATGAGCCCATGTTCACCTTCACTTTCTCGCACTACCCATTCCGTTTAAGTAACAGAAGTACCACATGAGACAAAAAATATCCTGTTGTGCATTACGGTAGAGAGCATAAGAATATAGCGTTTTCAGAACGTAGCATCAACCATAACATGGCCAATATGTCTACTTAATTACCCAAGGTTACAAGACAACTGAATGATCGAATCGCTGTTGTAAATCTTGAGTGGGATGGTACTTTAGCTGGACAAGATGTTGCTAGACCATTTTAGCAATATTGCGGGCTAACAACACAAAAACGTAGATTCCAAGAGTAACGCCAAAACAAACCATCTCACCTTGATGTGGGAACGAAAACGGAAAAGACAAGGATTGTATTCCACCAACCGGTTGGACTTGAGTCGATCCAAGAACCACAGAAGAATGAGGAACCTTTTGATTACATGTCGGTTGTGGAGTTGATCACGGTTTACGGCTATCAGGGGAGATGTAACATGCATAAACAGGACGCAGTGTGAGCGGAAAACTCGATACCCTAACCAGCTCGCATATACGTAAGCACAGCCTAAAGCAGGTAGTTGACCAAAGAAGGATGACAACAGGTGGAATAATCCTTCCGCGGGGGGAGCATTTATGAGGAATGCTGATACGTCCCACCGACGAGTGTTTCCTCTTGTGCCAGGATGTATGATGACATTAAAATTTCGGAAGTGAAATATTGTTGTATCAAACTTGTATGCAGCACCAAAGAAAGCAATGGCCGTTGGTTTATCGCTGGATGACCTTGTTGCTGGAAAACCATCATTAGGTCATAAAGGACGCGTTACGCTGCTGTGGGCTATTAAGGATAGCGACCTCTCTACTGCTTGTCAGTCATGAGGAAGAAATCGTCGTTACTAGCCGATAAGACTCCAACATGTACTGCGAAAACATGGTTCCATGCAAGTGACAATCAAGTACATCCACAGAAGCAGGTGAAATAAATGGGAAATCTACCATTATCCCGTTATCACGTATCGCTTCATCCAACTTACTCCCTTTGATGTGTTATGCGAAAGAAATTCGGAGTCAAAAAGCTGACGAAAAAATGACACATTCTGTGGGCAGTGTCAAGTTTCCCCAAAAGTGGTTTCACATCTATCAACTCAATGAGGAAACGCAATTTCCACTATATCATCACCAGCCAGAAGTAAGCGTCCAAAAAATTTTGAGGCAACCATTCCAAGGTGTATGGTTTTTTTTAGATGCAATGACAACGAAACGAGTTACAAGCCTCGAATGTGCTTCCTCGCCAGGAGTTATTCGAGGCCCCACTCGCACAGCTGTGAGTGAATAAAAATAATCATAATGCTTCGAAGGAAAGGCTCGTCGTAGCAGCTGAACCTTGGGTAAGGGTTGGCCTAGCGATCAAGCGCTTTTCCGCAGGCTAAAATCAGTCCTATGTCGACAAACAAAACCAGGTGGTAACTCAGACACATCTCGGTCACACAAGTCCTACGAATCCACGGCATCCATCTTGAGAGCTGGTGTCCTCTTTGAGGCAGTCTCTATAAGGGGTAATTCTGAAAGCACTCAACCAAGAGGTAGGCACTCATTTACAACCTCGAAACAAGAGAATGGTAATACCGACTCTCTGAAGCTTATGGAATTGAAAACCTCAGCAAGATTCAAAGAGATCACACGCATCTCTTTAACTGTCACTAGAGGATTTGCCGTGCTCTACTGACCATCATTGAGCCAGCGTCTCCACCAACTCAACAGAAAACAACAAGTGATTAATCAGTTGCAAAGATGGAGTTTTGCCCTTTTATATCAGACAACAATGAGAAGCCCTTTGCAAAGACGGTCGAGGTCTTTCCAGAGCAACAGGACGGCGGTTGATCGGAACGCTGTTATAAATGTTCTGCGGAACCCGGACTCTCCCCATCGAAAAGGCCACTGTTTACATACATGTATATGTAGGCATGTATATACATGTTTAACGAGAACACATGATGTCGGTTCTCGGACACAACACAAACAGGACAAAAATTTCATGGGTGACAGAAAGTGCGTATTACGACTCACGGAGACTACTTCGAATAAAGGCATTCCCGTCCACTAAACACATCACCATTTGTATGATGATGACGATGTGCAAAGACGATCAGAGAGATAAACAACTACCTGGCTTTTGTGGAATGGGATCGGCAGTAGGTTTCTTTGACTGTGCAGGTACAGATGTAGGTATACATTTAGATACGGAGCTGCCGGTGAACAAGTAGATCCGAAGTTTCTGGCTGAGTGGAACGGGAGGGGGTGCAAGCCGTGTGGGATCTGACAATTTGAGAACACCATCCACTGCAGAGACGTGGGCACTCTTGGGGACTGGCGCTCCATTGAGTGCATCGAGAGCTAAGTGTAACCATATGGGAGCGTAATTATCCGTCAGCTGACTCATCAGCCGTCTTTGGGCACCTGAGGCGAAAATGCAGAGACAAGAAAACCGATCAGAGGAGAAAGAATCACGTATGGGGTCCCGAAAGAAGTGCGATCACTCGCACCTGCCGTTGTGTAAAAAGACATTTGGATAGTGTACAAGATTGGGCAATTATTTTGCCATAATTCAAAGCCGAAAACGGGTTGAGTGTCGGATGCGTTCGAGAGCAAACACCAGCTCCCTCAAAGGTAAACCGAGGTCAGTTTGTGTCCGATGGCCGAAGAAGGATTGAAATGGTGAGTTCAAGAAGTCAGCCCTCTTACGAAACTCGGATTGTCGCACGCATGCAACATCACGTTCACAGTTTCAGATGGGTGAGAAAGGGGAAATGGGTCCAAACCAGATGTCTCAATGCGTGGTACGGTTAGGATACACGTGCCGTGGCTACAACGTTCGAACGTGGTACTAACTTAGATGAGTCACCGCCCATGTTTTGACTTAGTCTACAAATGGCTTCCGATGCACCACAGAGGTACGCCAGTTTCGTCAATTCATCGGAATGACGGAACAAACATCGATCTTCACATGGAATAAAATAATAATCGTTCAGCAGTAACACTCTTGCTTCAACGCCATCCGAGGGAGGTACGCGGGCTGAGATATTGCCAAGTTGCCCAAGCCTAGTCAGAAGCAGTCAAAATGCCCGAGGTTGGATTTGAACCACAGATCTTCCACTCAGTAATCTTAGCCACTGAGCTGTCTCGGCTGTAGAGGGGGTGGTGTAACCTCTCAGCGGGTCTTACGACATAACTCAAAGAAAAAGTTAGCACAATCAAACCAGAATCAGTGTTATCATTGTGGCTCAGAGTACGGTAAACGTTTTTTCGTAAGCTGAGGGCAACCGGCGATCCAGCGATAAAGTCGGATTGATTCAAACGTCATTCGTTTACAGGGCACGCAGAAGACGACACTGCTTGTTCACGTAACTCCGGCCGTAACTGTAGTTCAACTTGAGTAGCGCAGTGATACAATGGGCACGTAAACCGACGCGTGCATTGACGTGCGTGCATTGACGAGTGATGTGAAAAAGTGCGCACAATCCAATGTACAGGTTGCAAGCAGAGTAGTATTTACCTATTTTCACCATGTCAACGCTATCATGGGTCCTTATACGCAAACAAAAGCCAGTCTTTCGCTTAAGAAACGGGAAAATGTTGACTGCGCTAGATCCCAACCAGATTCGCAAAGAAACGGTAACTGAGCAACGGAATGCTCCACGGAAAACCATCAATGACATCTTGAAAAGCAAACACGAAATGGTTTCTCCTCTCCCACTTGCATCTGCTGTTTATTCAAGAAAGTCTTTTTATATGGAAAGATTATTCCATTGATGTATCCAGAGTCATGTTCGGCAACTTACTTATAGCGGGTACGTCAATCAGAATTGACGGATTGTACCCAACCATGGTCGATAAGATGTACGATACCGTCTGTAAAATAATGTAACGGAACTCTCGGATACTGCCTCAATCATACAACATCTATCGGAATGCTCACCACACTACCTGAAAAGACCTTACCTGCTCATATTTACTCGCTAGCAAAACTTTCGAGAAAATTTAGGAGTGAAGCCACAACGCACCCAGGTCCAGCACACCTGGCGATAAAATAGAGTGAATCAAATCTTTCCGCTCTCGACAGTAGTGCCGCCTTAAACGAGGCAGTGAGAACAGATACGGAGCCTGCGACCAGAGCTTCTTCCATATAACCAATAAGCAAAATGGAATAAGATTGCTCCACCAGGTGGTTGTGAAGAGCATGTCCTTGAGAGTTAATTGCTGTTGGCTTATTATTGAGAATTATTATTGGTTGAACTCCGCACAACATTCATCAGCTCAACTAAAAGGGATTTGGACAGATAGAGTAGGACAAAGCAAGGATAGCGCATGCAGTAAAAGGAGAAACAAAAGTACCTTTGTCCACACGAAATGACAGGTCATACGTAGGTACAATTTTGCCCTCATCTACTTCACGCTCCACACGTTGACCTGGGCCTGTCATGATGGGTGTATGTAGCATGTCCACAGCGTTGTTCAACGAAACCCAGTAGGACCGACCTCCCAAGGCACATGGGATTTCTGCACGGGTGGCATTGCTGTTGGCTGCAATACAGGGGGCGAAAACACTGTTCAACCATTGTGTGAGACCGCGTTCACTGAGCTCGGATAGTAAACCAGGGGCATTTGGATAGAATAGGTTGCCTCCGGGCTGACCCGAGTAGTAAATTCCAGAGTGAGTTAACTGAGGATCTACAGGAAAATAGCAAGAAGGAAAGCAAGGAAGTGTTAATGAGCAAATAGAATAATAGGAAGGAGAGGAAGTAGTTGAATTACCTCGTTTAAGGGCTGGAGACCGGATGAGTTTGGGTGACACAAAACCAACATCTGTGGCGTGGGCGGGAATTAGATTGAGGGCTGCTGGTCGCGTTCTGTGTAACGAGGATGCTGGACGCTTGCTGGCATCATCCAGAAATGTGCACTGTGGTCCAGGAAGGCGAGGTAGGCTAACAGACTGTCGTCGTAGGGCTGACTGAAATTGACCACTAGAGACACGAGAAACGCGTTCCGGCACAACATCCCCGACGATTGCAGTTTGTACTGTAGTATTTTGAACGCGTCCGGGATATGTTTCTAAATAATGAAGAATATGCTTTTATTTCGTAGGAATTGAGGTAAGACAGATATCATGATGTCGCAACCCCTACGCAGATCCTCAGCTTGGCTGTCGGTCTGTTCACCGAATTAGGAAGACAGATATCGTGGTGTCGCAACCCCTACACAGGTCCTCAGCTTGGCTGTCGGTCTGTTCACCGAGCTTGGTATTCCATAGCTTATTGTTCCGTCCACTGTATTATATTGAAAGGTACAGTAATTCGAAGTTTCTTGATGGGTGAAACGAACATGTTGGAAAGACATTTATAGAGCAATCATGAAAGTGTTTCTTCGTCCAGTTCTTAACCGGATAACTGAGCATTCGCCTAGTGCACGTGATGTTCCGTTATTCGGATGTCACACAGCAGCGGAACACACTACTGACTTTCAGACGAATAAGTCGGTGAAGGGCGCGGAAAGATGGGGAAACCTAAGATCTACGTGTGACATTTATCGGTTGGGTAAGATACCCACAGGACAAAATCTTGCATGAGAGATAATCTTTGTAATGAGGACGATGATTGAATGCGACAGAACTCACATTGGATAAAAAAACCCTCACATTGCGGTTCTTCACTCAATTCGAAAATACGATTAAGTGCTACACACCACTTGAAGCGCAAGCAGGGATCCAAAGACAAATGAGAGTTTATCAGTATTTCTTGGGAAAATCATAGACATCGCTAATAGGACATTGTTAACATCGGTGTTTCACCACCGCTCACAACTGGTTCATTTCAAAATCCATAGATCTGAAAGGATAAAATGCGAGCAGGATACTAACTGAAAGCTAACTGAGGTGACTGCACTCAGAACGATCAATCTGATCTAGCTCATAGGCGGGGTCAGACTAGAGAACGATTACTCGAAAAGGGACACAACTGGAGGTGCGAAAGTGGCAATCTGTTAGGGCTGAACAAGCACTGTGGTTATCCGATGCTTAAGCCCTAGTTTTGATTGTGGATATTCGCTCCGTGGAGAAAATGATACCAGCCTCCTGAACCAGTGCAGAGAAAATGGTGTCGAAAAGGCTTTTGGAGGACTAATCAAGGACGAAAGACTTTATACTGTCGAAGAGTTTTCAGCAACCTTGTGAGTAGTTTCCCTTGTGAAAATATACTGCGAGATCTCGAATATCGTGCCAACTGAAACATGAGGCGGCCTGTGTGCAGCACATTCAGTTATAGAATATCATAAACGAGAGATTCAGTTGAGTCACTCATGAAAACCAAATTGATTTGCAAATGTGAGTGTATCTCTCGCAAACAGTCCAATGTGGGTTCAAGTAGAACGAAGTTGACGAAACCTCGAGGACTGCGCCTACCTGATGAGCCCCAAGAAGGCCGAAATCGGTCGTGGGCCGTCGAAGAGTTTTCAGCAACCTTGGGAGCAGTTTTCTTTATGGAAACTGTATGCTTCTGTGAAGAAAGGCCTATATGCGGTGCCGTGATCTGGTTACACAACTATTGTTCCAACATACATGGAAGTACTCAGTTCCAGTTAACCTAGTACAGAGGGAGTGTGGGACGTTTCCATCTCAAGATATATCACCTTGGGCATTAGACGATTCAAGGACAAGAAAGGCTGAGGGTACGGAGTGAGCGACAACACACATGAGCGTTCACCTTTCAGGCTGTGCTTCGGTCGTCCGAACGAGGCCGATTCTTCGTCAATGTATTGGGCTGAAAATGAACGTTCCAAACCACCTCGTTGACATTGTTCTATCAACAATGCAGTAGGAAGTGCTGCTTGCGAAGTGTGGAACCTGTCATAACTGCGTGTGCGTTGCAGTGCAGTGATCCCAAGGGGCATAGAGAAGACGGTGGGTTGGAGACGCTGCGGCTAAAGATGAGTGAAAGTTAGTTTAATGAGCAATCATGGGGAATTTTCGGATATTCGAAAAACAGTGGCCGTTGGCCACGAAAAAGTAGGGGGCTAGTGAGGGATGATAGCGGATGGAACCATGGACACATGAAATCAGTTACTGAAATCAGAAAAATTTTGATAGGTTTTCAATAGTAAAGTACCAGTAAACGGACGTTTAAACTCTAACAGAAGCCCTTTAGTGTATTAGAAACATTGGTGTTTGTTCAGTGCGAAGCTACCAAATCACTCGAAAGAAGCATGAAGGCCGAGATACTACCAGACTGCCCAAGCCCAGACAGTGGCAGTCGAGATACAGAAGAAGGGACCTGGTGCTGGCGTATTACAGGCATTTTGAGGTAACGAAATCTTCAAGCGCTCGAGCAGGCATTCTGGAAGGAAACTAATCGACGGCACGAACGCCAAAGACATAAATCAGCCTTCATTTCTTGCAATGTCTCCAGCCAACCGAAGGTGGGTTAACGAGGACCCTATCCTATCCATCCTTCTATCAAACCACCGTTGTCTTTTTAACAGTTTATACCATTTTGGAGGAGACACAAAGAACAACGCTCATCTCGGTGGACGACGCTTCGGCATGTTTAGTACATGACCGAGCCACAGAGCTAAAACCATGAACTCCACAACAAAATAATACTATCATACCGCATATACAAGCGCGCGGTGCCATTAGCCGGAATGCTCTGCTTGCTGCATACAGCAGGGCGGATGAGTGGAAACATGCCAATTTTGAGAATCCCTTCTTATATTCCTCTCTTCTCCCCTACCTATGGCAGATACCCTCTCTGAAGATCATAGTACTGGAACTGACCGCTCTGTTTGTTATGCATTATTTTTGGCAGCAGCTTCTGCGCTTTCGTCTTCATCAACAGCCTTAAAAACTTCGAAATGAATTTAACAATCTCGAAAGCCGGTCAACTTAGCTGCACTGTTTATTTTAGCAGCTTACGCCCAAGAAAATCACAGACTGGAATCCGTCAAAGAAATTTTCTATGACGTTCTTTTGCGACGTGTAAAAAGCTAGGACACTGTAGTGGTCATTTGTGACTGTGCCGCACAACGGCCGCCTGAAGTTTCAGTTGAAATGACATTCCAGATATCAAAAAACATTCTCCTAACTACACCTACTTGTGAGCCCCACGTACCAATCTCCAACTGACACGACCCGCGATGAATTCGAAGCGCGTTCTGTACTGCTGGATGAAGTCAACACACAATGGTTGGTGTAACCCACAACGACGTTACTATGACGCCGACAGAAGAAATGAGTCTCAGGACACCATACAGCCAGCAAACCAGGTTAGGCAATGGGCAGCCGTAAAGACCCAAACCACCCAGTGTATTAGGAAATATAAATAACAATCGTTCTGCTGCAGCACACTATCGATGCCTAGTAGTCATGTCACCCGAAGGAAGCATAAGGGCTGGGATATTGCCTGTTTGCCCACGCCTAGACAGGAGAAGTCGAGATGCAGAGGTCGGATTCGAACCACACACCTTCCGGTTAGTAAATTCGCGCTCTAACTACTGAGCCATCTCGTCTTCGTGTTAGAAAAGAACTGAACCAATACGACAACCAGTATAAGGGCTATGTCAAATTTCAGTGACTATAAGAAGCTAGTTTACCTTTTGTTAGAAGCCACCAGGAAAAAACTACCTGATCAGTTCGCACTACGCCCGACATGTGGCAAAACCACTCAGTAAACTTTTCCGGTGAGCAGAACAATTGAAACCCATCAGTCACACCATAATCATGCATCTTTTCCAACCATCGAATTCCCCAAGTCGAAACACAGCGCTGACCTTGGCCCTCCAACGGAAGAACTAACCAAAAGTATGGACTCGTTGAGAAACCACAAGCCCCGAATGAAGTTGGCGTGCTTGTAGAAATAGAGAAGGAATGCATCACTGCCGTGCTCAAATCACTCCGCCAGTCACTCCGTTCAGTGTGGGACAGTGAAGTATTTCCATGCGAGTGGAGCACCCCTATTGTCCAACATTTCCACAACAGGAGGGAAAAATTTGCCTGTGACAACTACCGTGGCATAAACTACTTAGCATTCAGAATCACTCTGCCACGGAGACACTCTCGTACTGAACAAAACCAGATAGGCTTTCACCAAGGAACGGGTTGCACTGACGAAATTCTCGCTTCTTCGAGGGTTTTAGAAAAACGATACACTGACCAATCACCAGTTGTTACCTGCTTAAGCTAATTAGGGCGACATGACTCTCTAAACACGGAAATACTGGGGAATATAATAGAATCGGACGGTAGTCCTACAGAAGTAACCGGGCTCCTAATATCCTCTTACGCAGCCACAAGAGAACCTGTTTATATATGTGGCTGCGTATCGTCGACCTTAGATTTGTCGCCTAGATTTCGACAGAACTGTCCGCTCCCCCCTGTACTGTTCCACCTCGCAGTTGACTGGATACTGAGCCAAGCCATCAGCGAAATCCATGGCGTGGAAGCTGGACGGAATTCGAGGACAAAATAGTTCTGCTCGCTGCAGATCAAGTCTAATCAGGCCTTCAGAGAAATCTGCTATTGTCCTTTCGTCCTCTAGAGATCAGCTCATCAAAAACAAGCACGCAAAGTAAACGGCGAAGCTAACATGGCTGAGGTTTCAACTTCCGTGAAAACCAGTTCACCTGCAGTCAAGTATGAAATGCCTGGGTCAGCCGTCTGTACTTTGCTACGAACGTGAGTCACCGAGCGAATACGTCATAAGGAAAAAATTAAAAAACCGTCAATGCAACATAAACAGGTAAATATTCTCGAAAGTAAGCTACGAAATTAATAGTGCCGCACGATGGGATATGGGTAACCTACGGGACTGCAGCCACAAACTAGCTTCCTAAAAATATCGCACGATCCCCACCAAAAATCGGTGTGCAGTAAGAAATCCGGAATCTACCGCCAGGATACAGTTGAGGGACAGAGGTGCGAACACACAACTGACCATGTCGCTTCAATTGCTCTTGGGTAGATTCGAGCAACTTGGCGCTATCGCAGAACATCCGGCGCATTTAAGGGAAATGTGGCAGAGGTGAGCTAGCCTCAAGCAATGTACCTGTACACGAAAGAGTAGGGGCTATCGTAACTGCGTAACTGTTACCGCAGCCAACATACCCGCTTCAGACGTGTTTTCCTCTCCACGACAGGGGCAAGCAATCGTCCAACAACCAGAGCTTGCAATGAGAACGCATCATTTACACGAAATTGGATGATGTGGTAAAAACCGCCCCCACCATTGTCTGAAGATTTTGGTTGAGATGGATTCCATGTGATCCGAAGGAGACACCGGCCATGTGAACCACGAACGCAAATGGAATCTGGAGCTGAGGAAGAGGAGGTGAGTAATTCGTATCCCGGTGTCTTCCAAGTTAGGTCTGATTGTGTCGTTAAGGTATGTTCTGACTCAATCCAAGTAAGCATGAATTCGTCGGGGGGTAGGCCGCGCCGGATAGATACCTAAGCACACAGAAGTGGAGAGTTCATGTACACCAAGCAAACACAAGAGTTGATAGTGTTAGAAACGGAACAATTAACGAAACCGGCTCGGCAACAACGGTGGCACTCACATACTGATCTTCATCGTGCGGGTTTTCCAGCAGTAGGTAACGCACAAACGGTCGGTTGGTAAAGTTTTCAGTCCCAAAATCGACCACAGCACGAGGATAAAATGCGGTTAATGTAAGGACATCTGAAGCAGTGACACAGATTGGTTCCCGATTCTCATCAGTGGTTGTCACGAGGAGTTGGCAATTTAAACTCGGCTGAGAAGACAGGATAGAAAATGTAACAGTAAAAATGAAAAGAATGAACATAATCAGGAAAAAAAGGGGAACCAAAACCACAAGAAATGCTTTTCATGGCCTAATTTCATGAAACAGTGTGAAAGTTGTCAGAGGATAGATGACTCATGCTGCTCATACTAGAGCAGTAGTGAGTGCTCTAGTTTCCATTCTGGAAGACCAGGAGACATTTCCCCGCAAACTTCTATCCATCGACTAACTTCGCGCATTACCATCAACTGTAAGAACCGCGTACTTGTCATATAATGGTTGTAGCTGCCACAGTTTCGTTCACCGACGATTTGGGGAGGTGGGGTAGATGACTGCGCATTAGAGGCGGGAGCTGACAAATTGGTGCGTAAATACAGCACTGTCAAGTGGGAGGATTGGGAAGGGAGCTATGCACTGAAGGCAATAGCTTCGATGCACGAGCGCCATTGAGGGCACAACCGGGCCATGTCTGACAATGTCTCCAACAATTGATGTGGCCCGTCTTAGGATCCCTATCCAGGAAGGCGGTAGTGACCAGCGCAGCTGAGTTTGCTGGTAATGGCTTTTATAATTCGTTGCCAAGTTATTGTTTGATCGCCTCTGGCTTGTTTCCACCCCCACGTGGTTGTGCAAAAAAAACCTTCCCGGAAATTGGTCGGCTGGCATACGCAGCACGCGGCCAAACCAGCGCAACCGATGCAGTATGATCAGTTCATCCATCGAGAGTGAGTTATTTATTCCGATTTAATTCAACATTGCCGATCCGGTGTTCCCACCCGACTCGGGCAATACTCAAAGCATCAAACCGTCGCACGAGGATAACTGTCTTCAAAATGACGCAGTACAGGGAGAACAACGTATGACAGAGGCGTGAAAGAGACTGCTAAGAGTTTGGGTGTTGTTGGGGCAATCCATCTTCCATGACAGGATGCCAGAGACCCTTCCCCCACCGGGCTGGACCCGCCTCGAGGAAGCGGCTAACCATCATCAGTGGTGCTCAGGCTGTCAGTTTCTGTTCAGAATGTCCGTGTTGAGGTTCCCGATACGGAACTTGGATTCATACGTACGTTCAACAATCCCGAATATCACAAGGAAGAATTGGGTTCGAAAGGCTACGGTAGTATTTACATAAGGGTAAACAAAGTTATACAGAAAACATTTCAAGACTTCAGAATGGTGGAATAAGCTGTGGCTGAACTGCAGCAAAACATCAGCGTCAACACTGGTGTTGTTTGATGATAGTGGCGATGATGGTAAAGTTTTTGGTATTCGAAAAACTCGATGACAATGACCAAACCACATGGGAGTGGAGGACGGGACAGCGAACAGACTGGCTATGGTTATGTTATGTTTCGATGACGCAGCGAGCGGATGACATAGTATGAGCGGACTGTGACGATATTTTATTCCCAAATATGTTGCCTGATCAAGACTGCTAATAAAGCGGAATAGTACGAAGACGAAACCTTGGACACAACTGTCATGCTCCGAACAACAGGCAATCTACAGAAAAGTGATATTGAAGGTATATATCCTTAGTTGAAGTTGGAAAATGCCGAAAGTTCGTTAGCAAACATAAAGATACAGTTTTTGGGATATTGATATCCTCTACAGGTCACAAAAAGTATCTATGGTGAACTGAAAGAACGAAAACTTTTTAGGCATGCCAGTTCAGCTGAAGCTGAAGACTCGATAATTTCACCAACTCTAAAAAGTCGCGCAGTCATTAATGGTTATGATACATCATCATCATCATCATTGTCAGCTGTAAGAACCGCGTATTCGTCGTACACTGGTTGTAGCTGCCGCAGTTTCGTTCACCGATTCTATGGAAAAGCAACGGCATCCAACTGCGCTTTTGTGATAATCACCAACACTAACGCTTGACGACCCTGTTTAGCTTGCTTTCAAAGCTGTTCGTCTCGCTATATCCATGAGCTACCAATGGCGAATCTGGATCCGACACCGACTGAATTTTAAAGAGAGTAGTCCGTCAGAGTGCGCATCTCCCTAGAAGTCGAGAAGACTGAACTATCATCCTTGTTCCTATTGTTTGGGGGAGATTGTTAAAACGACGAACCATGACAACAGTCCCTACCTGAAGAATTCACTGAGACCGTGTAATAATCACCTAGGCGAGATTAGTACAATAAGAGCTACATTTAGTCATTCACCTCTAAAAACGGGGGTCGCACAGCAAGTTTTGACCGACAGTGAATGCTGTCGTGAATCTCTCTCTTCTTCGCACCCACTCTTCAGTTCAACTGTAGAGTGTCTTCTTTGAGGAAACTGTTTCAAGGCCTCCAAAAAGCCCCCTATGGGGGCAACAACTTCTGGCTCTCCGTGTACAAAAACTTCTCACAAAAGCGCTATGGAACAGTAAGTAAAGCCCCCGTTTGGACTAACGCGAGAAGCCAATTTAGTTCAGGGCTGCTAATGGCGTTTTTTTACTGGTGGAAGAGGTAATGTTTTAAAAGTCTCGTTCGTTCAACTATTGTCATATCCAGTAAAATAGAATCGAGCTTGACCACAGTCCATCTAGCTACAACTCTAATTTCATCACCTTGTGCATATATGCAGGAGGAAACCAAAAAATAAATATTTTACGGGCGAACGATGGTTACGGAAGACCGAATTTGCGTTATATATCCCTATCTTCAAGTTGCAGCCTTGAAAGTTCATGTGCATTGGAGCGTTTGGCAGCCTTCAGGATGAGAATTTGTGAGCTGTCTGGCGACTAGGACGGTTGGAGTGCCGCAGTGTACAGTTTACCGATTGTCTGGGTGCTCAGTCACTATTGCTGGCCACTTCTGTAGTTAATGTGATAGGTTCAAATCAGGTGATTCAACTGGTGGCTTCCACTACAATGGATTAGCTAAGTAAGGCAGACAGGCTAAGTGAACCAAGCGTTATTACCTTTACATAAGGGAGCAAGACACCTGATTAGTGAGGTGACTGTCATTACATTGGTAGGTAAAGAACAGTTTTACCGAAGAATATGAAACGCTTTACAGCTGAATAAAAGCCAATGGAAATGGAGATACAATTCTTTCAGCCACATGAAAAAAGTTTGTTCGATGTGAAAGTGGAATTCTGGACGTATCTCGATGAAGACGATGACGGTGATGCAACCTCTTGCAGGACGGAACCCAGCTTGGTTTTCACGGATCTGCCTCTCGCTGTGTTCAGTCAACCTTCGAAGAATAAGGCCAGAGAGCACCTTAGATGTCACAGCTACCAGGCTGGTGCCACGGTGGTTTTCGCATAGCGTCCGTGTACCCTTTTTGAAGAAAGGGATAACTGTCGACCCGCCCCATTCTGTGGGCACTTTCTCTTCGTTCCACATGGTGCCAATAAGCTTTGTCAGGTGGGTCACCAGGGAATTTCTGCCTTCTTTGAAGAGGGCTGGATACAGACCGTCCGGTCCTGGTGACTTCTCACGTTTCAGTACGGCTGTTTCATACCTTATTTCTTCTTCCGAAGGGCGATCAAGGTTTACATTCCATTAGCCCGTATGCATTATCTCCACCGGCTGTGTTGCAGGCGGTACATAGGACGTAGCGTGTGTACGAAGACTGTCCACGTGTGAGTCATACTAGCTGCAAAGAGCTACAAACCTTCAGAACGCCGGTGAAAACTATGAACAGTCCACTATCGGGTTCGCCCTGCATTGGAATAAACCGGTAGACCTAGTTTCCGAATCTCAACCAGGCGTATTTCTTAGTTGAGCATTAATTTGTATGTATGCTGCGACAAGCAAGTTGACTCGACGTTAGGGGGGGATCCAGCTGAGTTACACCTGAACTTCAACAGCATTATGATCAGCATACAAATATACTTCAATATATTGATCCGACGGGGCGAGATGGACCAAATGGTTAGAGCGCGAATTTACTAACCGGAAGGTCTGTGGTTCGAACCCGACCCATGCCTCTCGACTTCCCCTGTCTAGGCTTGGGCGACGTGGCAGTATTCCAGCCCTCGCGTGGCACGGCAGCTAGGCACCGAAAGGGTGCTACATCTGAATGAGTAATATAATTATATTGAAACGAACTCTGTATCACACAAAATTTCGATTGCATAAGCTAATGGCAACACTTTTCACCGTGGCCAAGAGACGACGACTGAGTCTTTGGCTGGGCCTCGAGTATGCTGCAGGATTCGGAAGGCGCTGTCTGTGTCAATCTAGCAGTCTGATCCCACAGTTGTGACAGAGCGGTGTTAAAACCTGACTTTACAATACTGGTGCTGTGCCAGGCAAAGTGCGTGCGCTCGTATATACGTGATCAACTTTCATGACAAGCTGATTCTCAGGAGTGAGCAAGTCGATAGCGAATATGGCTACAGAACGCAGTCAATAACGAACGGAGCACTGATGTAGATGAAGAGGCTGCAGTCAGATGAGTCACGCAGGATTTAGAAAATGTTTTGATCAAGTACGGAGTACGGAGCTTAGCTATTCTCTCTTACAAATGGAAGCCTCAGCTTGCGTATCGCAGACTTCATACGACCATTGTCATGTTTTCAATGATGAATGCCTCGTGGTAGGTGTTTTGAACGAAAATATCTTTGCGGTAACCCAATTCTTCCATGTAAAATATCTAAGATCGTTCTGCTTTTGTGATGGCTCAATTTACTTTTCATCCTATTGCAAACACTTTATTTTGATAAACTCGGTTATACGTATTCATTATATGAATAGGTTGTTAATGAAATCAATGTATATTGCGTATCGTGGCATTCTCTTTAGAAACAATCACCATTGCACCCACTAGCAGTGAACACAAAGGAGACCTCACTGTGGGCTTCATGCCACATTACCTTAAAGATGCAGGAAGCCTTGTGGAGATAAAATATGTACAACCTATCACCAAGACGTTTCCAGATAGGAAAATTGGGTCGGCTGCCTGTCTAAGACGCAGTTGCACCAAATATATTGGCAAATATAGTACGCAGGTGAGCAATTTACATTATACTTACGCTCAGGGTTTGTGACACACCAGATGAATGTAACTGTGTCGTTGTAGGACTACCGCAGAACCAAGACTTACGAACCTTTGGACAATTCATTGAGATGCATCGAGAGGAGGCTGGAAGTAAATAATCGCATAATCACACAATAATCACATAATCATAATAATAAAAATCACATATGGGTAACGTCCAACAGGAGAAAACGGGACGACGTACCAACAAAAAGTTGGTTTAAGTAATGTTGGGAAAGGTCATTTTGGAATCAAAAAGGAGTTAGGGGTTTATTCACTTGAACAGATCCCTTATCAATGCACGTGTGCAAAGGAAGTAACGGGTACATGAAGAGTGAGGAGTGGATGGTCGTGAATTCACGGTAAAAACTGAGTACAAATGAACGTTGAAGACTAACACTATGGACAAGGAACATCAATATCTCCAGCAAATCACTGCCAAGGGACTGGAAATTATCGTGGCGACACGGTTTGTACCTCTAAGACCTTTGAGCTGTACTGCGGAGGTAGTTTGGTAGCAGTTTTTAATATCAGGTTAGCCGCTATTTGGTCTGACGAACAAGGCCTCTGGTCCTTCAGGTTCCCGAAGAAACTTGTACTGGTGGTTGTGTGCCGGAACCCTGCAGCCCTGCGGCCATGCTTCTGAGCCCCACTGTTCAGTATGGACTCCCTGACAGTATCCGAACCACATACAACCAAGGACTTTACAACTGACGATCCTATCGTGCAACATTTTCATCGCGTGGTGCCCTCAACGAGGCCGCCTTACTTGCTGCACACAACAGGGCAGGCAAACGAGAACATGTTACTGCTGACATCTCCTTTCGTGAGCTTCCGCATATTTCCTGTTCTCCTCTGTCGCACACCAACGTTAATGCTCTTTCTAAAGGTCCGGGCAATAAAACTGACCACTTTACATCATGTTCAGTTGCCTTTTGTGAGCGTTCGTTTTCAGTAACCATCTTAAACACCTCGAACTTAGCTTTCAAAACCGAAGGCAGGTCAAATTGCTTGTCACTGATTTCGGGAAACGGAACAAGTAAGACAACGAGCATCTTATGTCTGTACTCAAGATTTCCCCGGCACATATGCATGCTGTTTGTCAGAAACAAGAAGTCAGAAAGCGTGTTGTGGTTAGATTGGCTGCCTTCTCATCCTCTTCCGGATTCGGGCTATGTATCTCTGGTGACGGAGAGTTCACTGCTGTTGGATATGCCGGGATTTCCAGTGTGTTGAGCCACCAAGAGGAGGCTTCCCCACCTGATGGGTTGGCCCCTGATAGTCTCCTATGCGGGGTTCGTTTTGTAGCTCTTGTGAGTGCGTCTTGAGCGGTCCATCGCATCGGTTTATAACCCGATGGGCTGTACCTCTGAATACCGTTCCTATGGCGTTCTGTGTGCTCTTTTATGACGGACTAGAAGCTAACAGCGCTGTGGTCGCTGGTCACAGGTAGGAAGGCCCAATGCTACTAGCAGTTACTTGAGTAGTCTTGGGCTGAACACGAGAAAACGAGTATGTGCTGCACATGTGTGCGGATCATGGACAGCTTCTTCGCAGTATCAGTCTCCTGGCAGGTAGAAGTCGTCTGATTAGGTGTTCATAAACCAACTAGCCACGAACCAGAACAGACCAGCGTTATCAAATACCAGTGCCAAAGGCCAATCGCTGTTCATTGGTCCTTCTGGGATACCTTTGCAGACTCCGATCATCGGTGCACAGAGCTCCTTCAACATCATAAGTGTCCGGGTGTATATCCCTACTCAAATATCACCGTGCTCCAGGTACCGACGGTCTTCCGCCTGCTCCGCTCAAAGACGGTGGTGAATTGCGGGTAGTGTTTCCCTAGCCAATTAACATCTGTTTGGGAGAAACATATTGGGGGGAATCGATATTAGGGTAGTTAGGTTAATACCCAGATGGGGTGACCACAAAAGCGTAAACTTGACTCTTGTCGCTACAGGGCTTTCGGGATCACCTATTCATCGTCGTGGTACGGTGTCACAAAACCTCGACCCGTGTTTAACAAGTAGGATTCCAACCGGGTAAAGGTTGCGTCGACCTGTCGGGTGTCGGAGCAACGCCACTAGTACAGAGGAAGGGCAGTCCTAGTGTTTCTTTACTTAAAGTGCGTCTTATTCTGCCGACCGGTCAGTGGTTCCAACTTGCTTAACAGAGGCTTCGAAAACCCGTACGCGATCCGTTCCTTATGTATAGGGACGTCCGAGCGTATGGGTAAATAAACAAAAACGACCCCTCTCGCCAGTAAAACCATTTTGTAGTATAGCTGTGACGCTACCCGAAAGAAGCACGAGATGACTGAAAGGTTAGTCAAGCCTGGATAGAGTTTCAACGGCGGAATTTCCGACCAGATAATTCACAACTTAATAGCTGAGTCTTGAAAACCTGACTGAGAAAGGAACGTTGATAGGGTGGTGCTGGCGTTCGGCGATCTGTGCAAATTGGATGCGTTAAATACTCAGGTTTCATCGATTACATGATGTAGAATAAAAAAGGTCACCATTGCAATTCCACTTGAGCACCGAATGACGTCCATTTTGCAACCATTTAGCAGTACTCATGACCCAACAGCACAGAAGGTATGCTATTATAACATCTTGTTGTACAAAAACAAGGGGCTGATGCTAGTACCACACCCTCGTAGACAATTTCTTGTTAGTTCGTCAAGTGCGAATCGGACCTGCACGATAAATACCCCATTTTCGACTGTATAGTCACCGAATGGCGCGGTAGGTATCATTGATTTGTATCAACAACACTCATCACATGCATGTGGAGACCGTGTAAGTCGCCGGGAATCATATTTAAAAAAACGTTACACCTTACAGAGGCGGAGAGCGATTGGAACAAACACTTAAAAAGGTTGTCGCAGAGCATATAAATCAAATTAACGTTCTATTCATTATTAAAATCCTACGGAGCCTTTCATGAACTCCTCACAGGTGAAAAAAATGACAAGCCAAAAAGTTGTGGTAATAGTGATAGTGAAAACAAGATGATACACTTTAAAAAACATGCGCCACCAAAAGCTTCTTTATTCCCCTAATTACACGGAGGGCCCACCGGAATGGAACAACACTCCGCAATAAGGAAAATTTGAAAAAATTACGGATTCCATGCAAAGTAATCATGATGTCACCTTCGAAACTCCCCGCAATATAGTATAGCTAAGAGTGAACCAACGAACTAGTTTCCGCCGAAAACAAACTCACTACAATTACAAATCACGCGCAATGAACTATCTGTTGAATATACCGCAGATAGAAGGTAAATTAAAAGAAGTGTTCAGTTCACTATGAACGAGGCCCATATGGATTGGTAGGTGAGGTATAATCGAGTGAGGCATGATGACAACTCCGGAGTGTTGGGACAGCTTCGTCCACTTCCGTTACATTCACCATATATTCTACTTGGCCCTCTTAAGCCCCGGGGACATCGGTAAATAAGAGAACGAAGCCAAAGCATAATTTGCCCACACCTGTGTCGGCTCACTCAACAGGGTGCCTAAGAAATTGTAGGCTACAGTCACGTGGATCTGCTTAACAGAATGATGGTACTATAAATTTTTATTCCAGCCAACTTCACGCATAATAACAGTTCTAAGCTCCATCTTACATTTTCACTAGTAGGCACGGATTCACGGATTGATGCACAGGATCGAAGATTTTGCCGAAGATTCCCGGGTCCGTTTAGCTCTTAAGGTTCAGCGGCTGTCGTTCACCTGAAATACAAAAGTAGAAAAAGGGTTTAGCCTTGTTCTTTATGTTGTCAGCGCGCGGCAGGATGCTTGGCACCTCGAGGACCCGCATAAATAATTGTATAATAGTGTTTGAACTACGTTCGCGAAAGAGCGTGGACAACCACCGGAAGAAGGTTGCTCCACGCAGCTTCCCTTAGAAATGAGAAAAAAATCGCATAATGAATGTGTGCACTCTGAGGTTAAAAATCTTCTTACTTTGTCCCAGCTGTGAGTGCTGGGTCAACGGTGAAGTCCTGCTGGCCAAGCCTTGTTCAGACAGGGCGTAAGTAAGGAGTAGGTCCCCCCGGAGGCGGCGGTACTTCAGGGGAAAGAGATCAAGCATCGCGAGGCGCGTTTCATAGTCCACGGATTTGAGGCCGGCAACCATTTTCGTGGCGGCCCGCTGGACACGTTCAATGAGGGTGACGTCTTTCGTGCGTCCTGAGTAGACAACTTGGTTGGCGCACTCCAGGAGCGGTCTGACGTAGGCCCCATAGAGTATTTGGAAGTCCATGCGAGTAATACGGGAGAAGGTGCGTCAGGCGACGATACTCCGTGAAGAAGCGGTCGAGCACCGTGTAGCGCGTTTAGTGATCCACGCATTATTATTACTATTGGTATTGTTATTAGTATTATTTGAGACCGGCAACCATTTTCATTGAGGCTCGTTGGACAGGCTCAATGAGGGTGACGTCCTCCTTGCATGCAGGGTAGTCAAATTGGTTGGCGTAGTCAAGGGAGGTGTGACGTAGATCCCGTGGAAGTCCATGCGAGTATTATAGCAGAAGGTGCGCCAAATCATCAGCAGAAGGGCCAATGTCTTCTGGACCGATTTCTCATGCTACCATGGGAAGGACATGTTTGAAAAAGCCACATAACCAAATCCTTCACGGCGTCTATCCTCATGACGCCCTCTGGCTCATTCTCACCATGCTTGAAAAAAGCATTCGCCGAGTTCCCTCCAAATGACATGGACACACCTTTTGTCATTCTGAGGAAGGTATCAGTTCACGGACCATTGCTTTGCACCGTTTGCATGCATTTGAAGGGCAACGGCATTGGAACTCCAGGATTTCAAGTCGTCTGCAAAAAGTAGACATGGACTATCAAGAACACCTGGAAGGTCGCCGACATATATCAGAAACAGTAGGGACTCCAAAACGGAGCCTTGAAAAACTCCAATGGAGACCGACACACGAGCAGGGTAGATCGAGCCTACCTTCACTCGGAATGAACTGTCTGATTGGAACGCCTTGATCCAGTGTGGGATTTTCCCTTGAATCCGTAAGACCTGAGTTCGTTGCGCAGCGAGAAGCTTTTGAGAAGTCCGAAATGAGTCCCTTGTCCTTTGCCTCGGTTAAGCCCTCAACAACTACGAGCATATCAGTCACTCAGGAACACTTTGGGAGAAACCCTTATTGAACTGGGGGTATCAAGTTTTTGGATATTAGGTGATGTAGGATAGCTCGCTTCAGAATGCGTTCCGTCACTTTGCACAGCCTGTTAGTGAGGCTTATAGGCCTGTGTCTCTCAGGTGATAATCGGTCACTAGTTTTGTAGATTGGCGTGACTACAGCTTCCTTCCTAACACAGGAAAGACGGTCTTCGTCAAGCGACTGACAAAAGAAAGATATATGTGGTTTGCCGTGGTCGTCGAATGGACCTCGTCGGGCTGCGTCGCGCAGAATGGGTTGATGTTGTGCAAGGGTTGACGAAAGTCCTCCACCTGTTAGGGGCTGCTCTTAGTTACGTATGTGACGAGGACGCTACGACTGAACAAAGCCTGCATAATGTTCCCTATAAACCTCAGATACCACTTTTGGGTCACTCATTGGTTCTCTGTTCCTGTCCCTGAAGGAGAACGGGAAGGGCTTGTTTCTGCGGCGATGTCCCATGTAGTTGAATAGCACATTTCTGTTTTTCCCGGCGAGTTCCAGAATGATGACCTGTTGTCGTATGTTACATTGGCGGATTTTTGATTTTCAGCGGTTCCGATATTGAACGAAATGACAGCTCATCTTCTGTGTTTCCTGCAGTCAACTTTTTGAAAATCGTCGAGATCCTCTTTCCAGAAGATGCCAAATCATTTTATGTAGCCTGTGGCCCACAGGGATGTGTGCTGTTTTTTTGAGACGAAAATGGTGTCAGCCTCGTGAACTTTCTGGAAAATGGTCCCATATAAGCCTTCCATTGAAGCCGGTCCTAGTTTAACTTGTTCAAGGAAGATGCGCATTCCTGAGAAGTCTGCACGGCATAAGTTTTGAATCCTTGTTTTAGGTTCGGGATTTCTGGCCCTATAGCAGATGAAACCAAAGCCTTCAGTGGTCGCTATGTCTCACTGGAGCGTTAGTTATTGCCTGATCAACAGGTTGTCTTTCGTTGTTGATGACCAACTTTAGGAGGGGTGGTAGTTGGATCCCGCGGTATCTGGTGGGTGCATCGACGCGTTGAATCCAAGCACTCTTTTCAGTGACTTCGATCAAGGCCATTGCAATATGTTCACTTAAACCGACGCGCTATAGCTCCATTCAGGAGGCCTTGGAGTGTTGAAGATTCCTACCCGCAGGAGATTAGCGGAGTGGAAGCTGAAGGAGGGTTGTTCAACGGTTCGTATGAGGAATTTGAGCTTAATCCGTTCAGGAGGCCTTGGAGTGTTGAAGATCCCTACCCGCAGGAGATTAGCGGAGAGGAAGCTGAAGGAAGGTTGTTCAACGGTTCGTATGAGGAATTTGTCACCTTCGAGGGGACTTGGGGACTACGGTAGGCTACATCGAGATGGAGAGAATCTGACTCGCGCAGCGGAATTCGAATCCACAGTGCTTCACCTAAGGGTGTTGGAGTGGTACGAGAAAGGACAATCGGGACGAGCAGGGTCGCATATAAGTGGGGAACAATCCCACCAACCCGCCCTCGTCTTGAGTCAGCTCAAAAAATAGATTGGCCGCCTATCGAGATTTCCGTGCCAGAGACATCTGGTGTGAGCTAGGTTTCTGTGAGTTCGATTATGGACGACTGTTCAAAGCAAGCTGACTGTTTAATATCGCAAAGTTTGTTGAAAAGGCTGAGGAAGTTTGTGGACAAAGATTTCATCACCGCCGCTGCTCGCTGGACAGGCTCAATGAGGGTTACGTCCTTCGTGAGTCCTGAGTAGAGAACTTGGCTGGCGCATTCAAGAAGTGGTCTGACATAGGCCACATAGAGTATTTGGATGTCCATGCGGGTAATACAGAATAAGGTTCTTCAAATATTCCGTGGAACGGCGAACATTTTTCAAGTAGATTTCTTAGGATGCAATGGAAAGGACATGCTTGAGGGCAGCCAGATACCCAAATCCTTTTTTGTTGTCCGTCGCTGTGATATCTTCTGGTCCGTTCTCCTGTTTCGTGACCCTGAGTTCATTCTGAATGACATTTGGACGCAATTTTTGTCCCTCAGAGGGTAGTGCCTGTCTAGCAACCACTTATAGGGAACTGACACTTAAACTCCAAGTCGTTGACATAGACCAAAAGAGAGGTCGCTAAACGGAGCCATGAGGATCTTCAACGGAGACATGCGCCGAAGAAATATAGGTCGAGCCCATATTCTGAACCTACCTGGATGAGGTCGATACATGCAAACAGCAGGATGCTAACCTATTGGCGAAAGCTTCTGGTACTTATTAAACCATTTTCTGTGCATTTACATGTTTCTGTAAACTTCCATTCACAGCTCCTCAAGAGTGTGTGATTGCAGCCTACGTGAAAACAATGTTCACGTCTTCCATCTATTCTCAAGAAAAACTCTGCGAAGGTCCACGCTCTTTTCAATCATTTTAATTAATTTTGCGCCCTCTTAACACCACGTTATGAGATTTTACTTTAGGTGATGAACTGTGCACATAGCGCAGCAATTATAGTGCCTCACATTTAACTGCAAACGCTTCTGAATAAAAAAATAATCCTTTCAATATAACCAGAACACTCGCAAATACCTTTTAACCGACTTCCACTCTTCCCTCCTTGTGGTGTATGACCCCATCCATTTCCTCATAACTGCTTGTCAAAAATAAGATGGAGTTTAAAATATCTACAATTTTCTTCCGAATATGATGGCCCATTATTACTTCAAGATGGTGGATACATCAACAAAACTTTTGTGATTCACCCTTGATAGTTTAACTAAGTCCACCGACAATGAGCTGTATCCTGAGTCCGTTCACATCATCGTAGGATTTCTCGGCCTTGCACAGCTTAACTTAGTACGTGAAATTGGAATGCCCCTAAATGCATAACGTGAAGTCACAAAACATTTCATAATGTTTCAACCGTTTACTTACCCAGAGGAACCCCTGTGCTCGCACCTGTTCCCCGAGGAGGCTTCGAGGATATCTTACATATAGCTCCAACGTTTTCCGCTCTGCCACTATACAAGTCTCAGAAGTCACACTGTCGACACTATCGCAGGCACGCTGATAAACTACGAGGGGATTTCTTCTCCATCGTTAAAACACATGAATTTGACTTCTAGCAGGTGTGCGAATATTTCACTGTACTCAAGATCTTACCGACAAAATGTCAACCATTTGACCCATTAATAAACGATGAGGCCAAGGCAACAAACCACTGATGGACGCGGTGTATACTTATGCTGCATGATTCTCTCAGTTTGGGCAGCCACTGGAGAGATGGGAATTGTGCGATTTGCAATGAGTTTCAACATAGATAGCAACGGCGCATTACGAGAGCGTTTACGACAGCCTATGTTTTTCCTCAGTGCTTTGTGTGTAGTATCTTTTCCACACATACATACATATATTCATTTACGATACCACTTGTGATAGCTATATCACGAGGAACGAGAGGGTCAGCTTCTGCAACAGGCGTAATTTGGCCGGGTTAATACGATGTAACTTGTGTTCACGATTTTTTTCTTGCAAAAGGACCTATCAATCTAACGTCTTAGTCCATCAATCTTGGTAAATTTTTAGGAGCGCATTTAAACTTATAAAAACATTGCGCCCTAATTTTCTCAAGTAAACAAATGATCAAGTCCTGTGAATAGGGTAGTAGTAATACGTAATAAATCCTAAAGTGTTGTACATGCATAAAATGCTTTGATGAACTAGTAAAAACTACACTTCGCTGGTATCGTTTTCAAGCTGTGGGTCGCAGAACATCTAGATTGGTGAACTGTGCACGTCTCTGGCAGTGATACTCCGGGTTTCACATGTATGGCATCACTAAGGACATAATTTGAGAACGACAGCAGCAGAATGGTGCTGCTGTCGGATGATTTGATGTCATCCTGGACGAGAAGTACAGAATGTAAATTGGATTGTCAAACAAAATCCAGCGTTACGCTGAACAGTGTATTCTTGTCAGCACGCCACTTGCAAGAACTGTTATCCGGATTCCGCATGTGTGCACGACGGTTGTCTTCAACTCTGCAGAAAAAAAACAAACCGGACGCTATATTGTGTATTGTTTACTCAATTACGCACAGCATGCATGGATTATCACGCATTTTGTAACC